CCCCCCCCCCCTGCTGTGCGTCGCCCAACCAGGCCAGTGGCGGCCCTGCACTCGTCTGTTCTGGGTGAAGAAGTCCTTCCCTATTCGTCCGCCGGCCGGCCGGTAAGGTTTCTGTTGTCAGCAGACGGTATCTCCATTAAATATCTCAAGCGGCTGATCTGGATCACATGCCCACCAAGGTTTGTTGTTTGTATCATGTGTAGCACGTGTGGTGTTGGAGAAGTGAGTAGAAAGGCTGCCGAGCAGCAGCTGCTGCTGCTGCGGCCTTGCATTTGGTTTCCAGGAATTCGTCAGGTATGACCCGTGGGTTTCACCGTGAAGGTCAACAGCGCGAGTCGGGGCAGATCTGGTGACGGCTTGTTGCTGTTGAGCATTTTATTTTTTACCTCGCACGGCTTGGTCGCCGGCCTTGACGCGGGGATTAAAAACAGCTTGTATTTCTGTTGCTGCTGCTGCTGCTGTGGTGGTGGTGTATGCCTGTTTTTTCGGCTGAGTGCATGCCGTTGCGTGTCGCGCAACTGGTATTGTATGCGACCGGCTGTTTGTTTGCCGTGCTATCGTCAGTGCTTGCCGAGGCTGTATGACTTGTAACATAACCGATGTGTCTTGTCTTGTCTGTCTATCGACTTTCTCATTGACAGGAGACGATGGACCCGAAAACCCGCCCTGTGCTACAATGTAGGTCGTTTATCTACCCAGACTACAATTGCATGTTCGTGCAATATGCATTCTGCTTGTTCTAGGGATATATTTTTGTCAGACCGTGGCCCAAAGCTACGCAACTGACCAAATGCTCACCGTGTGCCTTAGTGTTTTTTTCTTGTTGTGACATTTCGCGTCTTGTTTCACATCGAAGTTTCCGACGGCGGACACGACTGTAGGAGAAGGACCCGCTCGACACGTTCATAGTGGGACATCATAAGGTGTGCAATCATACTGAGTACATTGAATGGAGTGATGCGGTAGCGATACGGGCCGTCGTCGCCCTGGTATTTTTTCGTTTTGTTTTACACTCATGTCGATTTTCCCACGCCCGTAGTTGCGACTTACCCTTCACGTCCGTTCCCTTCAACAACGCGCCAAATATCTCTAGTCCAGGACCGCCCTTAATGGTCACGACGGCCAACTCTTTCGTTGTTGTCGATCTTTCGTTGTGCATGTGGTTCGATGAGTTGCTGCTTCTCTTTGCCACTCAGGTTTCCCTTATTTTTTCTCCTAGGGATTTAGCTGCCACCCAACCCTCGCCTGACGGGCGTCGAAGAGCTGGGTGTATCGTTCGTCAGGTACGAGCCTGCCACGCCGCACCACACGCAAGGTACGGCTTAGGCTTGGCCTCACCCTGTTTTTTTCACGGTAGCATTGTGCCTCAGATCCTGCGTATCTCTTTGGGCTGTGAAAACGTTGACGTTGTCGAAGACGCCGCCTGCACAAGAGCAACGGGAACCTCATCACGGCAACAAGAATTTTCCTTTGGCAATAACAGCACCGCAACTTTGTTTTACGCTTGCCCCGACCTCGCTGCGACCCTTACTTACGACCAGGCTGTTTGCACCCGCACTGGCTGGCCGTGCGCCCCGCTTGCTGTGCATACAACCCTACAACTACAGATAGATCCAGGTGTTCAGAACGACCTGCACTCGGAGCTGGACGCGTGCTTCGATCCGAACATGGCGTCCGTCCTGTCCGGCTTCGAAGACAGCGGCATCTACGCCTGGCGCGCGGAAGGCGGCAAGCTGGCCAAGAACCTCAAGGGGCACTCGTCCGCGGTGGACAGGGTACTGCTGGTAGGCCCCAAGCACGAGGTCACGGCGAGCGCGCGCACGCACATGGCGCTGTGGATGGACGCGGGTTTGGAACCGGGGCAGTAGGCAGTGGGTATTCATCCGGCGGGTGGTGTCTCTTTGTCGCTAGGTGCACTGCACTACACCTACGGCTGTCCAAAAGTAGTCTTGTTGTGAACTCCCAGAGAACATAGTCTAGTCTACGTGTCATTAAGTTTTTGCGTGAGTTTTGTTGGATCAGCTCGCACCCTCGAAACATTTGTTGTCACGCATGGAGAATTCCTTGCATTATCGTTCTCTCTCTGTTTTCCCGGAAGCTGCTGTATGGTAGCTCGGAGTACCTCACGCAAGGGAGAATTGTGTGAATGGTAACGGCATCGCCCCATGGTAGCATGTAGCATATGAAGACGGTTGCTACAATCGCGAAATCTACCCACTGCTTCCCGGGTGTGTACTGCTGTAGTTTGAGGTCGGCTCTCTTGACTTATGAATACTTGGACTAGATCTATATTTTTCAATTTTTGAATTTTCGAATGTATCATGTTCAGAGAAGTTCCAAATCAGTGCTGTCGTTCGTGCTGCGGTTTATGAATCACCGTGCCGCCCGATCTTTGTGCCGCCCGCGCTTGTGCTTGCCTGCGTTTTTCTCCCGTCTTGAGCGAGCTGTGCTCCGGACTACACGAGGTTTGCAGGCCGCATGTTAGTTGGACGGAAGAAAGATGGGTGTGTTTTTCACAATTCGAAAATCAAAGACGGCAAGCACCAAACTCCTTCGCTGTGATGCTCGATTGCCCCAACACTGGCCCGTGACTCCCTTCATGTCCCCCCCTCTCCCTCGAGATCGGGCACGAGTAGGGTTGTTTAGCCCGCCTTGTTCCTTGTTCCAGAAAACTGACCGAAAATGGACAATGGTCGAATGGTCGAGTGAACTCACTCCCCCCACGACCCACACATCACGTCGGAAATGATTCGAAAGGTAAGGAGGCAGGCCAGGCAACAGAGCAAACGGTTCCAGGAAACGAGGCATGACGGGCATTGGTTATTCTTGGATGCTTGTGGCGAAACACACCGCGCACAGCAGCAGCACACAGCAGCAGCAGTGATGCCCCCAAAATCGGCGCGCATTTTCGAGTTTGTTTGACTTTGACAAGTCCTGTCAACTGTCAACTCTTTCATCTTGTCAGACTTGTGGATTATTACCTCCCTCTCCCTACTGCTGCAGGACGTAACAGTGTGGGGTGAGCTAACACCGTGTCTGACTTGTTGCTGCGATGAGGTAGATTTGAGAGACGAGACACACAAGTGTCGGCAGCCCAATGGCCTGCTTGGCCAACAGGACCTATACCGTCGACTGCTGTGTGCATCAACACTTAACGAGAGAACCCAACCGATGAATACCTGCGGATCATTTGCTGGGGATCCCCCAACGGCCCAGCCATTTATTTGACCTTTGGTCTCCTCGTCATATATCTGCGACATATACAAGAGTGCGCGCGCGCACACACCGGCCACCCCCATCCGCCCTGCCTGATGGTGGCAGACGAGCAGAAGAGAGAGTAGCGCAATCTCCGGAGAATCCCAGATCGCGGAAATACAATTTTTGAACACAGCAGACCAGAGACAAATAAACGATATGAAGACGTGCATACGTATGTAGACTACAGCTTAGAACTGCGGTGCCCATGTGGGCATATACATACCTGTACGCAGCTAGCTGCAGCTATAATAGTTCTCCGTCAGGTCCCTTTGCTTTTGTTTCTCCTGGTAGTGCTGAGACCATGAGTGGTGGGCGCCGACTCTTGTGTTGATGAATTGATAAATTTACATTTCGTTTAGAACTGAGAGGGAGGCAGCGTGGGTGACTGGGCCCAACAACATCAACCTGCCGAGTTCAAAAGTGCCTCCCCCACTCTTCTCTGTCTTTCTCTCTTGGCGGCATTGCATCCTTCTTTCTTCTTTTCATAATGCCACAGAGAGTTGCAAGACGGCTGTAGTATTTGCTTCGACTGTGTACTGACTTTATTTAGCATGTCATGCCAAGCTCACGCCATGACTGCCAAGCTATCTTTAGCTGCTGTAGCCGAATGTGTGTGATCTTGAAGCATGATGATCAGATGTGCCTCCCTGCTCATTACCATATTTTCTGTCGCATGGTGTGCGAAACATGAACTCAGAATTCTGTAGTCTGTATGTATCCGTCTGTGTGCCTCCTGTGTTCATGCAACAGCTGGGGATATCTTTGCGTTGCAAAGAGCAACGGCTCAAGAGGTTGTGCGTTGCCCCTCGCCCGTACTCTGCAAGCACTGCAAGCACGCAGAGCGACGGACCCGATTTGTATCTCACGATATCATCACCGCGAACCGGCTGTCACCCGCTGGTTCTGTTGAGGGTGTTGCTTTGGCGCGAGCCATGGGCTGGGCATCCATCTGGGGGCACATCCTCTCAAACTCTCGAGCGCCATCTCCAGCGAGGAGGATGGTTAAATCTGTTTCACTGGACACACAGCAGAGGGAAGAGAGAGTCAGCTCGGCAAGCATGAACGAAGGCACGGTAAAGTATCCTTTTTCTTTATACTTGAGTATTGGTGTCTGGGCTGCTACATCATAGCCGTGTAGAATTTGCAATGCACGGAGTCCATGCTGCTGTGTTTGCGGCCTACGCCACTTATTTATCGGGTGAGACTGTTTTGGTGATGTATTAACTTCACGAGAGGTCGACGACCGTCCTTCACACGGACGAAAGATTGAGTGCTCAAAGAGCGGCTTCCACAGCAAGGAGGGGCCCCGTAAATCATTGCGGTGCCCCCTATCAAACGGTTATCTTACCAGTCTGCGTGACACAAAATCACCCAGCACACGTATCCAACAGCAATGTTCGCAGACTCACGAACACCCTGTCCCTGGTTCTTCACGCAAGTGACTAACCATCAATTGGGCAAGAACCCCCCAGGATACATCAGATAATACCAACATGGTAACATATGGAGGGGAAAGCCGACGTCCGGGCAAAATCCCTCAAGGGAAATCCCACCACCACAAAAAACCCCGTCGCTGTCACAGCGGATCACAACGGCCGCACTTATTAGAAAGGCCAAGGCGAAGACAAGAACGCGAGGAACTACGTTCCCCCGGACGATGGTCTCCCAACGCCCCCTACTCCTGCCATTGGTACACAGACCGCAACAGTTATGCGCCTTTCCCCGCATGGAAAACATGGCCTCTCCCAAGTGCTAGAAACTGCTACAGCTACTCCGGCAAATTCATCAGCTTGCGCCGGTGATACTGCAGACTGGCCCTGCTAAGGGCCTTGGTGAGGAGGTCCGCGTGTTGCTCCGTTGTCGGGACAAACTTGACCGAAATTTCCCCCGACCTAAACAATCCGCGGATGAAATGAAACCGCACGTCGATGTGTTTCGTGCGACCTGAGCTGAGAGGGTTCTGCACCAACGCCATGGCCCCCTGGTTGTCCTCAAGGACCTGGATGCTGCTACTTCTGGTCTCTGGGGCAACAAACGAAAGCACAGCACGCACAAACAACGCCTCC